TTTTCTATGTGAAACTTACTTGGATCAACGGTGACGAGCAAGGCCGTTCCCCCAAAATCGCACGTTCCCCCGCTCACTTTAGTCCTTTGAAAATAGCTATTGAAAGCGTATGATGCATGAGCGAGCACAGTGTTGGGCTCGAAACACGGCCCACTGGGCTGAATCTGGTTACAATCAGCCCCCGACCCACATGCAAAATTCATGGCTTCCAGGATAATTGGTTCCGGCACCGCAGCCTTGGCCACGCACCACATGGCAGTAGACGGGCCCCGCTGACGTGGCGGTGGGACCGAGGGTGGCGGATACACAATTGGAGGCAAGAACCTAGGCGATGGTGTATTGTTTGGCGGGCCGGGCTCCGAGCTTGGTGGGCTTGGCTCATAGTAAGGTGGGCTTAGCACAGGTTGGGCTGGCGTGGGGATATCTGTAGGCGGGTTTGGGCTTGAAGGTGGGATTGGAGTTGGGCCTGGCAATGTGGACGATGCGGGAGGGGATGGCGGCTGTGGAATGAATGGGGGATAAACACAGTATGGAGAGGTATTATCGGGCGAAGAGATTGGAGGGAGTGAATCATATGGGGCCATGGAAAATGGCGGGCTCACGTATGGGCCCGTCTTTGATGCGTCTAAGGGAATTAATTTCTTGGACAAGTGAGATTTTCTTGGAAGTTTTGTGATGGAATTTCTGAGATGCTTTCCAATTCTGTACCGCCGAGTTGTTTTTGTAGCATCTGATGAAATAAGAGGGATTATGGGAATTGAAGACAGAGTCCTAATGATAAGTTGCAGTAAATGAAACCATCTGACCAGAAACGAAATGATAAAAATAAAATCTTACCACATTGCTCTAGCAAAAGGGCTGCAAGACAAACATAGAGAACTAAAATGCAAAACCGAACAACTCCATTTTTCTCCATCTGATGGAAAAAAATCAAGAAAGCTCAAAAATAAATAAATAAATAAATAAATCCAATCCTTAAACTTGTGTAAGAGGAATCAATCAGTGGTCTATGTGTAAAGAATGAAAAATAAGTTTGTTCGAAACAGAGCAAAAAACAAGAAGGAACATTTTAATTGGTCAATATTTATAGCCCAAATAAAAGATAGAATCTTAAGCTCATCCTACTTTGCACTGTCGGAAAATAGTGCTTGCAAAATGTGTATCACAAGAAATGTAAAAGAGAGTGGCTAAAAAGTGGTGTGTAAGTGCATATTTTAGGAGGAAGAATACGAAATATAGTGATTCAATTTTATCAATGTTGAGCATGTTGAGATATATGGGCATATGTGCTTGCCTTGACATAGGAAAAAAGCTCATATAAAAGTTTGTCTTTTGCTTGCTTTCTACTCAAAGCCGAGATCTTACCAACATTATCTCACACCCCCCACAAACACTGTGGTTGGCCCTTATCATCAGATTCAAAAAAATTAACCAATCAACCAATTTTACTTGTGTAATTATAAAGGTTGGAATCTGTCTTATAAGTATCACGCAATTTTTATTTTTATTTTTATTTTTTTTTTCACAACAATTCATTCCTGTAACTACCAATTAATCTCTTGCAATCTTCCACCACCAATTAGTGAGTACATTTTAGATGATGTGTCAATTTATCAGGGTTGAATTGATCGATCCTCGAACGTCCTTTTGCTCTTAGGTCCAATGACCTGCAGTATGCTGGGAAAAAGGTCTCGACGGAAAACCTTCGACGCTCAAGTCATAACTTGTTCAAGAGATGAACAGATAAAATATATTTTTAACACTAACGTTGAACCTGCTTACCCTTATATAAAGTGTCTTGATGCTTAAGAAAGTCCTAGTTAGGGAAGAGACCCAACAAAATCTTATTTTCTGATTTACCACGTCTCTATCTCACTAGGATTTTTTTTTCCTTTTACTGCACAGCTCTTAAGTCCCTGGGTGGTAACCACGACCTCTTAACCTTTGTAACCTGGCTGAAGTCGACTCTCGACCTCCTGACAGGCTAACCCCGACATCTTGAGGTCATTCTTCCTACTCGAGCTCCTGGAGGTCACGGCCTCCAAGTCATCTTATCAAATCGACCAGTATCTTGAGCTATGTCCGCGAGCTCCCTGAATGGGTTACCCGCTTCATAGCGAGCTGGAGCTCATCTGGACCGACCTATATTTGATTTATTTATAACTCCATCTAATTTTTAAAATTCTATATGTATAATATTGATACTATTTACAACTCCATATATTTGATTTATGTTTTTAAGCAAAACAAGTTTTATTGTATTATGATTATATTTTATATTTATAGAGTCAGTGTCCCACGTCTATTAATTTTTCAAGTATCTATATCTATATAAAAAGAATTACCATTTACCAAAAATAGTAAGCAAAAAATCTGCCAACATTAATTACATACTATTTTGAGTAACTTTTTTTTATATATATTTCAAAAAGTCAGGAAGCATTTGACTTGGTAAAAAATCGAATATGTATCTTCACTTGCTAATTAATGTTTATTATTTATTTATTTTCAAATGGTAAAAAAAATTTTTATAATTTCTATCTCTTTAATTTTGCATTACAAAACAAAATTCAAATGAATTCCGTAGATAAAGAAACACGTGATGCTCAATTAAATAGAAAAAAATTATATTAAAATTTATTTTGAAATTTCGGTTTGTTCAGATCACTAACATACTACAAAAATTTAATAAATATGCATTAGATCACTGCTTTGTTCAGACCCATGTATCAAGTCATCATGTCAATTACATAATCAATTATTTAATTTTAATTTTTTAAAAAACGTATATAAGTAATAAACAGTTAATTTGTCTTCTGTAATATAATTTCGAGTCATAATATATGGTCATTTGTTATAAACATTTACTATATGAATCACAACTTATTTTTTATTTCATAAAATTAATTATATTTACGACAAAAAAGATGATATTTATTTGGATCAACTGGTTTAGTGAATTAGGTTATTGTACATGTTTATTGGACCATTTTTTTATCATTTGTAAAAATCGCCGAAAAATATGACATAACTTTTGTTGCATCTTGGGTGACCATGTTATGAGTCAAATTGACTGAATTAAATCGATTATTGAAACTGAATACGGATTTCTTAAGAAATATTTGTTCCAATAAATATAATACAATTCAAATAAATAAAGTAAGAATGTTGTCATGAGGTAATGAAGATGAATGTTAAGTTATATATTGTGGGAAAGACTACAATCCATTACGGAAATATTTTGTCAAAGTTTTTAACTGTTAGATACACATGTAGATTAGTGGAGGATAAATAATATACTGTTAAAACCCTCCGACGGAATAGTGTCATAACGAGCTTTCCCTTTAGTTTATAATTCAATTGTTTTATTGTTTACCCGTGCATCGCACGGGCCACATACTAGTTTTAAATTAATATAATTTATAATTTAGAATTTACGTAGAAATGTATTATTTTCTAAAATTTATGAAACACAAAATTATTTTATTATATTTAATTATGACATTTTTCTTTTATATTTACTATTCTAAATAACATAATAACATTCAGTTTTTATAATCTATTTAAATTGAGAAATAATATTTTACAATTAGTAAAGAAGGAAAAAATCAATCATGAATTTAGTGTGAACAAAATAAACAAAACCGAAGTGTAATTACTTTTAGATAAAAAATTTTAATTTCTATCTAAACCTAATTCCGAAATATGAATTTTTTGTCAAATAGGATTCCAAAGCATGAGAGTTTGTCCCTTAGCTTCAACACATTATGAAATTATATATAGTGGGAGGGATATAATATGTATATGAATTTTATGAATTGAAATCGGTTCTTGTTTGGTTCCTCGGTTTGGTACGATTATTTTCGATTTGATTATCGATACGAATATTTTATGAATCTCCAGAACCGTACCAACTAAGATTTTGGGATATTTAAAAGTTGGATATTTTTCAATTCGATTTTTTATGGAAATCTTCCCGTGCTCAGCTACCGCCTGTTTTGTTTCACGTCCGGGTCGACCCGGTTTAGAAAACAGGGCAAATCTCACAAAACCAAATGTCTGATTAGGGTTTAGGGTTTTTCCTATGCAAGTTCATCAAATGGAAGAATTTGTCAAGATCATCCATCTGGTACAAAAATCAGCTTCCGTTTAACTTCCATGTTATGAATATCCTAACCCTCTCCCCATTCACTAAATCGACATTCTGGCAAAATGTTTCCCCGCGCCTTTTTGTTCTCAAAAAATCTCAGACAATCAGGAAAAATATCAACTCCCTGCTCCTTTTCGAGTTGTTCCAATCCATTCCGTCCTAAAGCTGCTCCGTTTTTCTTGTCAAATGATCCTAATTTCATCAGAAAATACTGTTCCGGGAGAACCAGCGAGAATGACCCCGACGTGTGGACCGAGGAAATCGATTATCTTGACGAGTCCGGCGGCGTCATCTACTCCGGCAAGGGAATAAGGTCCGTCGAGCCCGGATTAGACGACCACGTGATGGCCGGTGGAGTGAGAAAGCCCATCTCCAACATCGCTGCCGTGGCTAAAATAGTCGAGATTCTAAAGAGGTGGAGGTGGGGGCCAGACATGGAGACCCAGCTGGACAAACTGCAGTTTGTGCCGAACATGACTCACGTCACTCAGGCATTAAAGATAATAGATGACAGTGAGGCTTTGTTGAGTTTGTTCAGATGGGCCAAGAGGCAGCCTTGGTACTCGCCTGACGACCAGTGTTACGTGTTGCTGTTTGACAAGTTGAATTTGAGCAGGGATTTTGATGGGATTCAGTCGGTTTTTGAGGAAATGGTCTCGGATTCAGGCAGCAATGGGATTTCATCATCCAGCGCTTGTAACAGGGTGCTTCAGTATCTGGCCAAGTCCGAGAAATTGGAGGTCACTTTCTGTTGTTTCAAGAAAGTTCAGGATCTTGGCTCCAAACTCGATACCAAAACCTATAACTCACTAATAACTCTGTTTCTGAACAAAGGTTTGCCTTACAAGGCGTTTGAGATTTACGGGAGCATGGAGAAAGACGAGTGTTTCTTGGATGGGTCAACTTATGACATGATGATACCGAGTTTAGCCAAATCCGGCCGCTTAGATGCCGCCATGAAGCTTTTTCAGGAGATGAAAGTAAAGAACTACCAGCCGACTTCTGGGATTTTTTTATCACTTGTCGATACTATGGGGAGAGCTGGTAGATTGGATACGGCTATGAAAGTGTACATGGAAATGCAGGGCTTTGGGCTGAGGCCCTCTGGTGGCATGTTTGCTGCTTTAATCGATTCATTTGTTAAGGCTGGGAAGCTGGACACAGCATTGAGGTTATGGGATGAGATGAAGAAAGCCGGTTTCAGACCAAACTACGGGCTTTACACAACTATCGTTGAGGCCCACGCTAAATCCGGGAAGCTAGAGATTGCGATGTCGATTTTTGCCGATATGGAGAAAGCTGGATTTTTACCGACCCCATCTACTTATTCCTCCCTCTTGGAAATGCATTCTGCCTCTGGACAGGTAGATGCTGCTATGAAACTGTACAACTCGATGACGAATGCGGGCTTGAGGCCGGGCCTGAGCACCTACACTGCCCTTTTGACCCTATTAGCCAAAAAGAAGCTTGTAGATGTGGCTGCAAAAATTCTTCTAGAGATGAAGAACATGGGTTATTCAGTCGAAGTGAACGCCAGTGATGTTCTAATGGTTTACGTAAAAGATGGGTCAGTTGATCTTGCTCTGAGGTGGCTCCGGTTCATGGGCTCGTCTGGCATCCGTACGAACAACTTCATAATCCGGCAGCTCTTCGAGTCATGCATGAAGAGCGGCCTATACGAGTCAGCCAAGCCTCTTCTTGAAACATATGTTAGTGGGGCCGCTAGAGTTGACCTCATTCTCTACACGTCAATTCTCGCCCATCTTGTGAGATGCCAAGACGAAACCAATGAGAGGCGCTTGATGTCCATTCTAAGTGCCACGAGGCACAAGGCCCATGCTTTCCTTTGCGGGCTTTTCACCGGGCCCGAACAGAGGAAGCAGCCCGTTTTAGCCTTCGTGAGGGAGTTCTTCCAGGGCATTGACCACGAGCTGGAAGAAGGGGCTGCCAGGTATTTCGTGAACGTACTCCTTAACTATCTTGTTCTAATGGGACAGATAAATCGGGCTCGTTGTGTGTGGAAAGTTGCGTACGAAAACAAGCTTTTTCCAAAAGCAATCGTTTTTGACCAGCACATTGCTTGGTCCCTCGATGTGAGGAACCTGGCAGTTGGGGCTGCTCTTGTGGCGGTGGTGCACACGCTCCATAGATTCAGAAAACGTATGTTATATTACGGTGTTGTCCCTAGGCGGATTAAGTTAGTTACTGGCCCGACTTTAAGGATAGTGGTGGCTCAAATGCTGAGCTCGATGGAATCGCCTTTCGAGGTGAGTAAGGTTGTTTTGAGGGCCCCTGGGGATTCTGTGATGGAATGGTTTAAGAAGCCGATTGTTCAGCAATTTCTTTTGAACGAGATTCCGTCGAGATCGGATATTCTTATGCACAAGCTCAACACGATTTTTCCTAGTTCGGCACCTGAAATCAGATCTCTATCCCCTCCTAAACCACTTCTTCCTGGAAAGAGAATGTAAAATATGGGAGTGGTTACGAGGTAATCGTCTTTACTGAATTTAGTAGAAAATGGTGCCTCAGAGTCTTCTCTCCCAATTGTTGANTTCTTTTTTCATATCTGCTTTTGTCCATGTATTTGCAAGTTTCTTGATGTTTTATCCAATTTTTTTAGCAGCTTATTGGTGCTCTTGGGCATTCAAACATGCATGATGTAATACAGGTCTATAGTCTTTGGTGGTCGGGTTTTGTTGGTGGAATTTTATTTTTTAGCAAGGATAATGGTTACATATTTACATGTTGAATTGGCTGGTTGATCACAAGTAAAATCATATAAAAGCAGTAAATATTTAATTTTCTTTTTATTTTTATTTTTTGGTAGCAGTAGCACTTTCTTTATGTCGTTGGGAAATGGGAACTCATTTAATAAAAGTGTTGATTACATTCAAAATTACATCTGCTCGGGGCAATAGGAAATCATAAAACTTTGATTACTCTAGACTTTTAGTTTCTATAAACACCAAGTATCAGTCATTTGGCTCCATTTATTTCATTGGGTGAAGTACTTAATAACAATTTGAGCAGTAGTTGTATAATATAGCCTTTAATCCAGGAATTTTACTATTAACTCGAGTCTTACCACTCGAGAGTTCTTTCAGAATAATGTAGCGAACTTTTGAGTAAATTTCCATTAACATTTCTCTATTTTTGCTCAATTAGGGGGCGATTGGATATAAATTAAATAGTAAAAAAACCAATCAAAACTCAAATTTAACTCAACTTTAACTAAACCCCACTATCTTCAATATTACCAATATAATTAAATAATATCAACCAATCATTCTTACACATTAAATCAACTTTAATTCACTATTCATCCACTCACATAATTTTAACTAACCATCACTTCCAATCATTTTTCTCCTACTTTACATCAAATTAACTTTAATTATATTATTTAAATATTATTTTAATATATCTACTAACAACTAACCATATCTCTTTTTTCCAAAATTAACTATAGTTAAAAACAAACCAAATAAAAACTAGTTGAATCCATAAACAATCACCCCCTAGTTTCTCATATTGTCTGACATTTCTTATAGAAACCCTTTGACCATGTCCACTTGTTTGATTTATTTTGTTTGATTTAATTGGCACCTTTTGTTAGTAGTGGCAATCTTTAAGAAAGATGCTACTGTATTTGAACTTTCAGATGGAAATGTATGTAATGATCAGCATCGAATGGTTATACAAATTGTAAAGTAATGATTTGATATTAATATGTTGAATGGTTGAAAATAACCTTTCTATATATCTATTTTTATTTATACGATATTGTTGTATCTATACTATATTATATTATTGTATCTAATACTATATTATTATAAAGAACTCGTGTGAAGTTGTAATTTTGATTTAGTCTAATAAATAGAACATAAACTCTAAGGAAAATAGATATACAAGTATTGTGTTGAATGTATTAGAAACAATAACACTAGCAGTTATTTGCTTCATGTATTGCAATTACTTGGATTAAGTTATATATTTATTATTTGTCTAAGAATATTTTCTATTAAAGGATTCAAGATTTTGGGGGAAAAAATCTAATATTCTTTAGTTTTGATAGGATAACTAAATCAAACATTAATGAGAAAAAATGCTATAAATCTATAAAATATATCTAATATAAGGAAAAATATATAAACCCAAGAAAAAGCTTTCTATTACTAAATAATAAAAAAATATGTGATTACTAAATAAAAAAAATTTGGCTTTTTGTTTTGTGAGTATCTATATCGTAGCATTGAAGGATAAATGGTAGTACCATTATTACCAGCCATATTTTTTTGTATCTTTATCGTAGCATTGAAGGATAAATGGTAGTACCATTATTACCAGCCAATACGGTATGATTTATAAAACCTTACCAGACCAATACAACATTATTTTTAAAACCTGCACCTACCACAAGGACATCACACGAAAGCATACTCATTCAACATGAAACATAACACAGCTAAAATTCTTAATTTTGAGGTTTCATCAAGAAACCTCAAAAAAACCTCAAAGCGACAACTGACTTGCACTGTTTATTCTTAAAATTCCGGTGGGGCCGTTCGCCCAATCAGAGACCACACGTTTTCCACCACTGTCTTTGCCCACGTGTTGATTGTGTATATAGCTATCTGTTGTGTGTGTAATGATTATTTTATTAGGCATTGAGCATTTTTTCACGACTCTGTAGCTAGTAATGTAAATATGTCAAGTTCCAATTGCAGCGAGTAATGTTTTAAAAAATTTAAATAAATAAAGTTGATCTCAAAATTATGGCAGTAGTTCTGATAAAAAGAATTCAAGATGCGCGGACGCATAAAAATAAAATAAACGAGAGACAGACTTACAAGTATGGCCCCAGTAGGATCAATCCACCAGTAGAACCGAATAGCTAAAACAGCAGTGGCAAGTCCAACCGAGTTAGTGATGACGTCGAAGAAATGATCTTGAGCATAGGCTCTCACGATTTCGTTCTTAAATCTGCGGCAGTAAAGCATGAGCAGAAACTTGACCACGGTGACTGATACCATAATTCCTATCATCCACATCTCCTTATCATGGTTCATATTAGGGCCCGACTGTACAAAAGGAAAAGTGAAAAGAAGAAATATAAACATTAAAAGCAAATTTAGCAACAGCCAGCCACAGAACAAAGTCATTTGTTTGACGAGTAAGTACCTTTGCAGGAAGTTGGCGAACTGACTCCAGTATAGTTTGAAGTCCCAGAGTGGCCATCACAGATGCAAAAACAATAATTCCCTGTGAAACGATGTTAAAATAGTCCAGTTAAGTTACAACAGCTCCTCTTCTGAATTCAAGTGTAATGCTCAAAATTGACATAAAAACACTTTTTTTCTTTAAGATATGAATTATCATCTCATAGTACGACTGTGAACTGAAACATGCATGTACAGCCTAAGATAGTCATCCAACATGGATACAATATATGCTCCTAATTTCCTACAATAACTTAGCCTAAAAAGGTCAGATTTGATGAAAGAAGAACCAAAAATGAAATAACTTGAAAAGAAATAGAATAGATCCCGGCATGCTACGGAAAAAATAAACAGTGCAAGTCAGTTGTCGCTTTAACCTGAAGATAAATGTAACTTGGATCACCAATTCATACTAGAAATAGAAAATAACAGCTCAAATCATTTTTAAGAGAAGGACACAGTAGGAAGACCTCACCACGGGTTGCATCCGTTTCTTTCCAATTGGGTAGTGAATGATTTGGGTTTCTCATTGCATAAGATGTGAACCACAGAATCAGTCCAGATAACAGGTAATGACAGCCAAAGATCTGCTCGCAACTGACGCGTACACTTTTGCTATGAAGAGGAACAGATTAGCTACATTCGACACGTGAACAGCCATCCTCTCACTCTTGGCAAGCTGTTTCATTTCATCCTGACAGATGTTTGAGCAGATAATGAAATTCAATAAGTTTTTGCTTATGTTAGGTTTCTCTTCATTCCAGTTGTCAGGCTTAACTCGACACCAGAGGAAAAAGGATCATGAGAAAAAGTGTATTGCTCTTTATGCAGGTAAGGTCAATCTTTAAACCATGTTTTCTCTAATGATAAAATAGATAAATTCTAACAGCTCTTACCACAAAAATATATCTTGGTTCTTTTCTTTTTTCCTTTTTTTTTTTTAATTAGAAGGGTTTTGTGCTAGATTCATGAAGTTTTGAGTTGATGATTGCATAGGTATCAAGATTAAAAATACCTGAAAAAATTCGGTAATCAAACATCACAAATACCACTGTCGTGAGTATCGCAGACATAGTAACTCCAAATGCATAATAAAAGAAGAAAAAAAGGTAAACAACCAACCTCTGTCAGGGTATCTGGTAGACAACCAGATTCATGAATTGCCTCCATTTCATTAAATCCTTCAAGGAGCCTCTCTTGCTTTTTGTAATACTCAGAAACTTTTCGCTGTTTTCCTGATAAAACATGCATTTGAAGAACATCACAGAATATATAAAATGTTAGGAACAAATGCAATGAACTTACTAGAGCTGCAAGATTAAGATACAAGCAAGAAATCAGAACTGCCACCGATACAAACAAGTTAAGATGCGTGTTACATCTATAAGATAAAGTGGAAAACGAAAATATCTCTACGGCATAAACAGAGTTTCAGATTAAGCATAACCCAATCTCCAAGATGATTTTTGAAAAAAAAAATTGCAAAATAAATTCTAACTAATGAATGATTGCAAAATAAATTCTAACACTAATGAAGGCTTGTTCTATGATATATCAAGAATGAGAAAATAGATTCTAGGTTATGCTTTCCTCGAGAGTATTCTAGCAAAGATTAATTATTCATTCAAACCTTATTTAATTCTACCATTCGTAGGGATAATCGCTAAAGTAATTTACACCTTTCTCTCGAACAAGTTAAATCGTAGATATTAACTGTTATCTATCTCCTCTCGGTCTCAAGATGAACAATCAACTCCCATAAGCTCCTAAGATTCTAGTTCCCTCGTAAGATTCTATCAACCTCTCGGTCTGTTTAGTCTCTTACGTTATGAATTTCCCAATTCTAGCAATCAACTATCTCCTCTCGGTCTCAAGTCAATCACAAATATGCATAAATATGGGCCCTTATATTCACACAATTAATAAAAGCACAAGAAATTGATAAACGAATGATAAACCGGAATGAATAAACAAAGTCACTTCATAAAATAATCCGAGTACTCACAAATCCTAGAATCTCTAAAAGGTTTAGCTACTAAACATATTCTCAAAACTCAAAATAAATAAATCCATGAGTTCAATGAAGAAGAAAAAGAGAAAAGAAAAAAGAACTATTGTCGCCGTTAGTTCTCGAATCTTCAATCTTGACTTCTTCGAATTCCTCGTATGTTTCGTACTTTCTCTAGGCCTCCAATAGTGTCAAAAGTCCCAAAAACGAGTTCCTAAGGTCTATTTTATACTGTAGGGCACTTCTGGGTCGAAAAAGGGAAGAAATCGCGCAAGAATCCTATTCCCCGCTGATCAGGTCTGCGCGTCACACGAGTCGTGTCACATGCCACACGAGTCGTGTGACTTTTCTCAACATATCGGCGAACTTCCAGACTCACACGACTGGTCACACGACCGGGTCACACGAGTCGTGTGATGCCACACGACCCGTGTGAAAAAGCCGTAGCTGCGTCTCTTATTCTCTCAATCCACACGACCCGTGTCACTACCCACACGAGTCATGTGACCTCTTCTGCACCCGTTTTCGCCGTTTTTTGTCCCGATTCCATTCCAACGCATTTCCGGGCATATTTCTTGCAAAACCAACGACAAAAACACCTCTATCATAGATTAATAAATAAAACAAAATGGTGCACAATCACACGATAACCATGGCCAAATATCACAATATATCACTCATAATGCATGAAAATATGATGAATGTCATGGAGCCTTTGATCGACTTACTAGAGTTGCAGGAGGTGGGGGCCAGGATCATAGCGGCGCCCTTATTGCCGCGTTTCATGCCCCTCTTGGGGCTTCCTCGAGCTATGACGCGGAGGTTTAGACGCTTCAGATCGGTTTTCAGATTGCCACCTCTATCTTCTCTCACATTTGGATAGAGTTGGACGCTGCGGCTGTCATCACTCTTTTGTCATCTGACCATCAGGACACGTGACAGATCCAGCACCCTCTCATGCGTATCAGAATTCTATAGTTTAGGTTGACTTCCGGTGATATACAACAATATCGTCTCCTACTGCCATTAAATTGTTTGGTTTTCTAATTAATTGTCTTCTTTTGCCAAAATAAAAAGACATTGTCCCTTTTTGCCACAACCTGATAGTTACTAGACATAAAATGCAGTTGTTCTGTAATTCAATGACACGTCACCCGTCCAAATAGTGAGGTCGTGCTTCATCGGCCAAAATCTGGTGCAATCTGGACAACTCGTCATTGATTGGTCAATAGTTGCGTAATTTACTCTATTGTTCCAAAATGAAAAGAAGGTATCATGTTATGCAAATGGTCACAAGTTACGGGACTGAAAATGCAATTATGCCTTTCCTTGTCACTAAACATTCGTATTTTGAAGTCTAATACATGTCACAACTTAGTTGAACCAAGGCTAGATAAATCGTTTGGTGGACAATTAAGACAACCAAATGGAGGACTAGGAGTAGGGATAGGGACACAGGGAGGATTAGGAGGACAGTCAGGTGGAGTCACTGGGGGCTGGGGTGGGTGAGGTGTAACCGGAGGTCCTTCGGGTGGGGAAACTTCAGGTGGGGGAACTTCAGGTGGAGGGTTCTCGCCACAATCTTGTAAGCAAATGCATTTGGGCAACATCCCCTTGCATTTGCCGGTTAGATAACCTTCTTTCTCACATATTCTGGCACAATTACTGTCGACAATGCACACGCCATGGAACAATTTGCTCGGCACCTCGCATAGTGCTGCCTCAACATGCATTGCTATTTTGTTGTCTGCGAAATGGAAACCATGGATGAAGAGTGTGGTTACGGTTATAACTTTTGATATGCAATGCATAAATTCACAGTTGTAGTGTAATCGATGCAACTCTAATTATTTCTTCAAGTTATTGATTAGCAATTATGAGAAATAGAAGAAACAATTTGTGGCTTACCTAAGTTTTGTAGGTACAACGCCAGGACCAATATGAACATGACTTTGGTCATGCTTATAATAGAAAATGTAATATTTGCAGCTAGGATTATTCTTGTTTTAATTGTTGCTGGTTATATTTCGCAAATAGAGGCTATCCACTGCAGTGACCTATTGTTTCACTAGTAGCCTGCTATATATGCCAAAAAGGGTTAATTAGACATTAAATTAATGCAATTTTCCTTTTTTTTACTTGATTTAATAAGAGGAGGAAGGAAATAATGTAGGCTTTGGGTGGGTGGTTGAAAATGTTTTATGGCTCTAATGTAAAGTTTCCACAAAACAGCAAAAATGAAATAGTCAGAACATCTTATCCCCTAACTTAATTTTTCGATCCTCTTTATTTTTTCCTTTAGCAAAAGATGATATTATTCATCTTTCTGTTTCGTCACCGTCACTAAGCCCTTGCATCCCGTGCATCATTATGACCATAATTCCTTTTTTTTCCATTCTCCAAGAATTAATTGTATTTTCGACTTTTACATAATCACTCTTGGTTTAACGTTTGTAAGGAAGAACAACATAGATTATAAAATTAGCTATAATATGCTTGATTTTTGTTTTGCATTTACAATTAATCAGTTTTTAATTTAAGTCATTACTATTTTTCTGTTAGAAGGATATATACTGTTTTATACTCTCTCCGTCTCAAATTAATACACGTTATGACTCATGTGGATGGTATATCTTTCTGCAAATTAAGGATGTATTAATTGGTATATATTTTCTGCAAATTAAAGTGGATATTTTCAATTGCAATTTTTAAAGACTTTTAAAATTTTAGTGTATTCAATTGAACCTTTTTGAGACTTCTAAAAAAGTCTATCGGTATTCAATTGAGACTTTTTAAATTTTTTATAAATATTTAAAAGTTTTAAGATATTCAATAAAAACTTTATAAACTAATTTTACCAAATATTATTTTATATCTACTAACTTCTCAGTCATAAATTATAATTATTAGCTGGCTTATCAGTTGAGTTTACCAAATATAGCTTATATAATATATGTGTGCTGAACATATTTGGCATTTGAACAAATTGAGATTTTTTTTCTTTGTTTCTTGATTATTACTTTTTAGATAAGTAAAACAAATTAAATGAGAGGTTTATTCATATCTATATATTAAGAGAAAAAAAAGTTTATAACTAGATATATTAAAATTTTTCTATCAAATATAAGTACTTTATTTGAAAATTTTGTGTTTTCTATTAAATTTTTTTTATCAAATATAAGTACTTTATATAAAGTGTTAATACCATTAAATAGCCAAACAAGTTTTCAAAACACAAATTATAGCCACCTTTTGTAGAAAACATCTTTATTAGCCATTTTGGCTAGTGTTTTTACTCAATTACCCCTAACTTCAATTTTTCAAATTCAATTTTTTTTTGGCATATCAGATTTTCATTTACCCCCAAAATCCAAATTTCATCTTTTCATTCCCCCCATTTTCACGCTGTCTCTGGTCTCCTCTCCTCTCCGGCGATAGCTTATTTTCACGTTCTCTCTGTGCAATTCTTTTCTCCTCTCCGGCGACCGCTGCTCCTCTTGTCTCCCACAACTCACTCACCCGCGCTGCTCCTATCGTTGCTCCTCTCCGCACCCGACACACCTGTACTGCTCCGACGCACCTGTACTGCTCCGCCGCACTTCTCCGCCGCATTGCTCCGACGCACCTGCTCTGCTCCGCCGGCTTCCTCAACCTCTCATTGCTTCTCAAGGTGCGGCTGTTTAGTTGTTTAGGGCTTGATTAGGGTTTTTCATATTCTTTTTTCTTCAGTAAAAGAATGATGTCTTTGGTTGAAATGGGGAGGCATCGAATTAGGTTTTTGATTAGGGTCGAATTGATTATGGTTTTCTTCACTGATTTTTTTATTATGGTTTTCTTCACTGATTTTTTTATTATATTTTTCTCGACTTCAACTCCAATCTCATTCGAATGGGGTGCTACTGACCCAGCATTTTTTATTTTACTGTATTTGTAGCTTGTCTCTTCATGAATTAGCATTCACCTCTTAAAGTGATGTGTTCAAATTGGGGATTTTCAATTTTTTTCTTTTTCAGGCATTTATCGGTGGAGAGGAATCGGTCCACGTACATCCGGCCTTTCCCCGAAACTTCGCGAGTTTCCAAGTAGCAGCCGCCGATCACCTGGTTTGTCATACGTGTCACCACCGCCGCCTCCAGTCGCAGGCCCTACGTTTCTCCCAGTAAATATCATCAGTGTTCTTTTACTATTTTGCGTGTTATCCACCTACGATTCATTTTTTGCGGTTTACTTTTTTGCTCTGATTGATGAACTTTTTTGGTTCATATTCTGAGATTCGGCTACAGCTCAATTATCTTTATTCTCTATACTCTTTCAATTTTCTCGAATGCTTTTGTTGATTGTGATAGTGGGCTTGAAGCTTTTAGATTGACTGTTGAAAGGACGAGTATTGGCCAAGCCACTAGATTAATGTAAAATTGGAGTCTAAAAAATATTCAATTTTTATATTAGATTTGGGGCAAAGGGGTGATGGGTGTTTGGAGCAGTGGTGAAGTTTCAGAAATGAAAATTGATTTTTTTTTCCCAAATATTTACAGTGTTGTCCTGTAGATTGAATCTTAATGCATTTATCACTTATGGTGTCATGCATTACTTTAAAAGAAAGGTTGTTACATCGTACGTGTTTGAAAATTTTGTCTACATGATTGGAGTTTGCAGCATACTCTTCATTTTTCTCGATTGCATTTTGTAAAATCTATAGGTGTAATCTGTTTATGCCATTTGTCTCTCTTGTCACTTGTCAGCATATTTACTGTGTTTCTTGAACGCCACGAATCGGGATAGCCATATTATTTGAAGGACTGTTTATACTTATCTGTCTAGCTCATAAGCTTAAGCATATAAATCCATCACACTATATACGTAATATGTGTTGCATACTTGAATCTTTCTGTGGCCTGTTGTATGGCTATCATGCAGTTGCTATGCATTATTTTTCAGAGAAGTATGTTCAATTCATAAGGCTTTTGGTATATATTGGTTGAGGTTTAAGAAAGAAGGGAAATGAAGAGCATGCTTAAGTTGTGTTTGAACCTTGTTTTGCCTTATATGTTGTTGTGCATTTTATGTGATTTATTTGCTGTTTTTTGTGGTTTTAAAAGAGTTTAAGTTCAGTTCTTAATTACCTTTAATGTACCTGTGATTTTGAACGAAAAAGAGAAGGAAAAAGAAGGGTTAATTTGAGGCTTGAATGTGTGTTGATTTGAATCCTATTGTTGCACTATTTGGTTGAGCTTTTATGCGTGTATATGTTGTTATTATGTGTATCTATTTGAGGATAAATCTCAGTTCTAATAGCATTTAAGTTGCCTTAGAAATTTTAGGAGAAAAATAGAAAATTGATGTTTGTGTGATGAGCTTTAAGCCATGTGATTAGCTTCATTTTGTGGAGTTAATTGCTGATCTTTTTGGTGACTGTTAGCTTGCTGAAACTGTATAATTTCATAAGTTACATTTCAGTTTTAAGGCCTTATGACTTGTGGTTTGAGCATGAGAAAAAGAAAAGGAATTTTAAAGCATGCTTGTGTTTATGCTTGGTCTTTGTTTTTATGAATCCTTGCTGTAGCCTTTTTGGGTGTTTCAAGCTGTTATTTTGCATTAATTTTAGAGGTTTATTTCAGTTTGGAGGCCCTAAGGGTGTGCTTGAAGGTTTTGAGGAAAAGAAGAGAAAAGAAAGCATGTTTATGTGTTGTGTATGTGCTATTGTTTTGCCTTGTTTGTTGTGGCTTGTACATGCGAATTATATGCTGAGTTATATGCTTATTTTGTGCCTATTTGCCGAAGTAGTGCTCAGTTTTTTAAGTCCTGTTTTATTGGTTAAATTGGAGAGAAAAGAGAAAGAAAATGAGACTTTTCCGAGCCTAGAAAGTCAAGCTAAAGAGAGAGAAATTATATGGCTGTATTTGTTCAATATGTCTAATTTATGTGCTTTTATCTGCTTAACTTTGTTTGCATTATGTGCTCGTATTTGTTTTATTTTCCGCACTTGTTGTCTGTTAATTAAAACCCTAATAATAAGACTTAATAATCAAAACTAGTATGTAACCCGTGCGATGCACTACCTGTATTTATTTTGGGGAATATTATAAATTGAAGTGTATTAATAAGTAAAATAATGATAATTCGTTGAAAAATTGTCAAATAATAAAATATTTCTCATGAAAAAATAATATATTATTAAAAACATCATTGTACACAACATTATTATTTTAATAATTGGATAACTCGTCGTCCCCACAAACTAATATTTTCCACCATTTCTTAGTAAAACAATATAATTGGTCGTGACCAATAATCAATTTCATTAAGAACATGCCAACGCACGATAAAAGTTGACCCTGACTCTTCTCTATCTATTACATACATGCGAAACAGCAATATATAATTTATAATTGTCCATCACTAAAAACTAATTTCTTTAAGAACATGCCAACACACGATAAAGACTGATCCTGACTCTTCTTTATCTATTACTTACACGCGAAACGACAACATATAATTGGTCATGACTAAAACTTGATTTCTTTAAGAACATGTCAATGCATGATGAAAATTGGCCCTAACTCTTAAATGGAACCGTAAGGTCAGAAGGAACTGGTGTCGCTGGAACTTAAATGGTACACTAAGATGAATCTATTTATAATATGATAATTTACTTGGTAGTTCGATAAATGAGTTGTTAGTTTAACATTTTAGTATCGATTATACTTGATTAGCCAAAATAATATTCATTAATACTTTTATACTTTTTTTTAACTTTTATAAAAGAACATTAAACATGTATGTTTACAATATTAAAAACACCTAAATGTTATATAGCCTATGTAAGATTATGTAAAATATTCTTTATTATTCTTAAAAAACATGAGATCACATAAAATTTTTCTAAATTATTTTGTAAGTAAAACATGTCTAAAAAATGTTTAGCACACACATGTTTAAAATATACAACATGTTTAAAATATACAAAATATTACATGTGAATAATATGCATTAAAGTCTAAAATAATATTAGTAATTATATAGTAGATATAATTAGACATTACATGTGAGAGAGATTTATATATATTAGATATAAAATATAAAAACATTAGTAATTCGATATTACGTCACGCTAATTTTTTCAAGCCAACCAATTTTTAATTGGACAACTGTCCTATTATATGTATAAAAACTTTTTACATTTGTAGATTTATATATATAGATATATATTTTGCATAGCAGATTNGATACAAAATTTTGAAGTTTTTCTTTTTAAATACACATATATAAGTAATTAATATATAGATTATGAGTTATTTAGAAAATAAATTGGTTTGAATATAACGAGTATCCCCAATCCAATCAATAACATCCAACACATGATATATGATAAAATTAGTTATATGAATCGTCATGCATTTAAATATATATAAATTAAGTTGGCATGACTTTTTGGAAATATTTCAAAAAAATTCAAATGTTTTATTTGTTAAATGATTGACCGAATTTTTGTAACCAAATTTACACGTTTGACCGAAAAATTTAAGGAATGATCGAATTTTTTGAAAGCAAGATTTTCAAGATTATTTCTTATTATTGGCTAGATTTACCCATATCATTTAAGAAAACTATTGCTCATATTTTTATGAATTTAGGTTTACACAATATCTTTCTCAAAAAAAATTGAATTTGAATTTTCATTCAGTCGTCATTTTCTTGAAGCAAGATTCTCAATATTATTTCTCATTATTGGCCAGATTTACCCATAGCATTTAAGAAAACAATTGCTCATATTTATGTGAATTAAGGTTTACACAATATCTGTCTCAGATAAATTTTTTTTTCTTAAAAAAAATTGAATTTAAATTTCATTCAGCCGTCTTTCAAACTAAATTACTAAGAATAGTAAATTTAAAAATTTTAAGCGACAATTTTAATACTATTTCAAGTTAATCCCTCTCTCTATTATATAGTAATAAATGAGAAGTAAATCAGAAAACTCGATTTTTAACGATAATGAAAAAATCACAAATCCCAATAACTGAAAATTGTATATTTTGAAAATTTATCAAGATTGATTTGCAAGAGTTTTATTAGAAGCGTATCACCATTATCCATTGATAGAGAGTGACTAAAATCTTGTCCAATATTCTTATTTTTGTTAACAAAATATCGGTTTCAATATAGATGCATCGCTTTTTTTTTACTAACTTGAAATTAATTCACAAAAGATTGGAAAAATTCGTTTCTACCTATACACCTGTAAATATATCCAAATTTTATGCAATATCAATTTATTTGAATTTAATAAATCAAAATATCGGTAAATTTAGATAAAAAATAGAGAAAAAGAATTCACAATTTTAAGGAAGAATATTTTTGAAAAGCTTGAACCTGATTTAGTTAAGAAATAGGAAAAAAAATCTCAATTGTAGGGAAATATCAATTTTATAAAAAACGGACCCGAATTTACTTACGAAGCAGTAAAAAATATACAACTCAATTTTGAAAAGATTGCACAATATTTAAATTTATTTGATAAAAGAATCAAAATATAATGATTTGGATAAGGCATAAATGATAAACAGATTTTGGATAGGAATTTGATTTGTGTAATCCATTCAAATATCAAAATTTTAAAATCAATTTGACGTGTCAATTCGGACGGGAAGCAGTGGAGATGCACGGCCATGTCCATGCCGGTATTATATTATTCCATAGATTTTGCCTAAAATTGATATTGCATCAGTTTACTCCTAAAATTCTGGATGTATCATTTTATTCCATAGATCAATATCTAACAAAATTTTGAAAAGGGAATAAAAAACGGATTGTATTAGTTTGTTCCTAAAATTCTGGATGCTCATTAATTCTAAAGATATGAATTGATTTTTATCCTATATATATTTTTTTGTATTATTCGAATAATTACATCCAAATTGCAACGGCGGGACATCTGAAAAGATTCAAAAAAAATTTACGAAATATATAAGCGGAAAAATGACTATTATGAAGCGGGAAAACAAATTAATTTTTTTTTGAATTGTTTGAATAGTTTTTCGTAACCGTATTATATAGTAATAGATGTAGATTAAGAGAATTCAAGCCCTCATGCAGACGCGCGTGCATTTAT